GGGGGGGGGGGGTGTTTTTGGTGGCGTTGGGGGCTCGAGGCGTTTGGGCTTCGACACGAAAGTTCACTTTATCTCGGCATTGTCAAAGGACTCGCGGAACTCGATACGTAGGAGAAGCTAATTGCTCGATAAGACGGGACCTCGGGACTTCACGGGCATCGGATGCCTGCTGGATATTTAGATTGGCGAAAGCGTGATTTTTGTGGGGAATTTCAATCATTTTTGGAATTCATTGCGTGAGGAAAATTTGGAGAGTAAGCAAACATTATTTTTTGCGAAGAATTGTTTTTTTTTTCAAGATTTCCTTGTCAATAAGGAATCATAATTGTGAATAAGGTCGAGAAAACAATTGTTTACAAATTATGTTTGAAGACGGTTGTAATCTTCCAAAAGTTTTTTATCGGGGATTTCAATTATTCGCATTTTTGGAATTTAATTGCGTCAGGAAAATTTGGAAAAATGGGAAAAAATTATTATTTTGCGGAGAATTGATTTTTTAAAGATTTCCTTCTCCTCCATAATGAATGATGATTTAGAATAATTTTAAAATAAATAATTGTTTACGAATTATTTAGGGAAAAAGTCATAATCTTCAAAAAATGAAAATTTTGTATTTTTTTATTGTCTTTAATCGTCAATATCTCCCCACCAAATGATACAATTTGGATGAGTCAGCTCTCATTTTAAAGCTTGAAAAATTTCCTTGAGAATAAAAAAAACTCGGAAAAATTCACTCTGCCGTTCTAGAGTTATCGACGATTGAAGCCAAACAGTTTCAACAAGTCCTTCATGACCCTTTGTGACTTAATCTTCAATCAACTAATTTGATTAATTTCATCTGTTACAGGTTTTGAATCATGTTCACCGACCCCGTGCCTAAACGCCGGCGTCTGTGTAACAACACCACGGGGTGAATCCCAGTGCAAGTAAGTCCCCATCAACTAATAATAACAGATTAAATCGCCACAGGTCCAGAAAGTATTTTCTGACGAATGTCAGCAACTGAAAAAAAAATAGCAACTGCATATGGACTAAATACCATACGGAAACGTTAATGTAATTTCGTATAGGGTAAACAGATAAAATAAAATAAAAATTGTGCTGATTAATTCACCTTTCAATAATATTACTCGTGAATAATCATGTGATCAATCATTTCTTCTATTCATCGACATTTAATAAATAAATAAAATATGACCCAGTCCTCCAGAAATTAGGGATTTCGGCTGTATTCAACTATTTCTTAATTCAATTATTCTTTATTTTGTTATTTTCACTTCCAATAATTTTTTTCTGTTGATCGAACTGTTCACCTTACTTGAATAAACATCAAGTTATTTCACTATTTTTCCCTAAAAATGTAACGAGTAATCTTCCAACAGTGCCTTCAACCCGAATTATAAAAACATTAGTCATGAAATACTTTCTGAAACCCTGTGATGTGCGCAATCTCATATTTATAGACCCAAAAACCGGGTTAAAATACCATAAAATCATTGAACACACGTGCGAAGATTCTCACAAAAAGCGAAGTAGCCCAAAAAATCGGCGAATCCACATCTCAAAGAGGAAATCATCCGAGCGTAATGATAGGTCTAGTGTATATCTCTGCATTTGCATCATTGCATTCCGTCATTTCTCCGCAAAGTGCGAGAGTAATCGCACGAGTGAGTATCTCGTGTTCCGATGCGTGCCCCCGGGCCATCATAAATTCTTCCCGAAGTCAATTCAAACAGTCATGAGCACATAACGCGCATTATGGTACTGTCATCAATGACCGGACAAATCGATCCATTGCATTCATTTATCAATTATCCTGGACGAATCGTCGCGACATCGGGACAGCGGGACCGTGAGAGGGTGAAACGAGGAAATGAAGAGAAAAAATAGATAATTTCCTTCGAACGAACGAGTTCGTGATCCAGGGACACATTTAAATAGCATTTATCGCGGGATCCTTTGGCAATGGTTTCACTTTCCGGTTCAATTTTTGTTCCAGCATTGAAATTAAGTCAACACGCATTTCCCTCAGAATAAAAAACTTTAATCGCACAGAGAGAAATGTTCAGTAAAAATTACGGAACTCACAATTCACTTGCCGATTACGGAATCGACTCAGAAAATTTAAGTGACGGTATCGTAATTTTTCACAGGAGATTCAGATAAAAATTACGGAACGCTCCGGAAAAAGTCCGTAACAGTTCCGTAAAATTTCCTACAAATACATTTCGCTCCGGAATTACGGAAAAGATACGTAATTTTTATTGAATATTTCTCTCCGTGCGATTTCAAGTGAAAAATATTTTTCAAATGAAAACATTTTACGATGAAAATGAATTTATTTCCCTTCAGAAAAATTTTCACAACTGTTTCAATCGTTTTTAATGTCCAATTAATATTGTTTTAAATAGAAAAAATATTCGGAATATTTTATCGCAGTTGATAAAACAGATTGGTTGATAATAAAGACATTTTGCTAGTGAGTAACAATTTTTTCGCAATTATTTTGCTATTTATTCCGGGGAAATTCGTGTTTTCATTTTGTTATAAAACGCTCACTTGACCGTTTGTGTCAGCAACATAATGTTTTTAATGACCCCCCCCCTGGAATTGGCGGTATGAATCTATTACGAGAGGCCTCGCGATCCCGTACGGCGTCGCCACCATCCTCCATTCTCGCTTCTTTTACCAATTTAACCCTCTCACCGGGCACTCACAACCGAGCGACCGAGATAGTCCATTAGCACCGCGTAATTCCGTTGTGAAACGTGCGGTTCCCGAACCCGGACAAACCGCCAAAGTAATTTACCGAGGACCCACCGTTCGCCGGGATTTTACCCCACCCACTTGTCTCATATACTCCGCCTTTTTTCGATCGCGTAAATTTATATTTCATGTTTTGATAAAAGAATTGAAGTTCTTTTTTTAACTAAACAATTTTCAAGTTTCTATTGAATAGATTGAATTATTATTTCAATTTCATATGAATATTCATTGTTTCATTAGCCAGATTTATGGGGATTTTTTCCTGCAATTTTATTCCTCTTTCGAAAAAAAAATCAAGGAATTCAGTAGCGAAGCGATAAACCGGGTTAAGTCGATTTTGAATTTTGGTCATCTTTTGATGAATATCTCGGAATCTAGGAGAGATGGCAAAATTTTGCTCATGACCTTTTTTATAACCCTCAGTTGGCTCTACAAAAAAGGTCGTGACAAAAATTTTTGTATCTCTTTTAGATTCCGAGATATTTGTCAAAAACTAGCCAATAGTCAAAATTGACTCAACTCGGTTTACCGCTTCGCTACTGAATTGATGTTTTTTTATAAATTCTTCCATTGTTTCAAAACCCCTACGCATAAATTTATATTTCATGTTTTGATAAAAGAATTGGCGTTTTTTTATCTAAACAATTTTCAAGTATCGATTGAATAAATACAGTAGTGAAGTGGTAAAACGGTTTAAGTCGACTTGTCTCCCACTTGAGTTTTTTTGGAATATTTCCGAATCTAAGGGAGATCGCAAAATTTTGGTAATTACATTTGTTGTAGCACTCAATCGGTTCTACAAAAAAGGTTATAACAAAAACTTCGCTATCTCCCTCAGATTCCGAGATATTCATTGAAAACTGGTCAATAGTCGAAATTGGTACCGATTTACCACTTCGCTACTGAATTGAATCATTTCAGTTTCATACGAATATTCATTATTTCATCAACAAGGTTTATAGGGATATTTCCTGCCTTTTATTCTTCTTTCATTTGATTATCAAGGTATTTATGGCGCGATCAACGGGCTCGAAAAAAAATTGATGATTTATTTGGTCAAAAATGGTCGAAGTAGATTGAAAATTTGTAACTGAAATCTCCTTTTTTGTTCACCGATTGATGTTATGCGCCAGAACAATAGGTTCCCCTCCCTCTCACCTCCTACATGCCCACCCCGCCATAAATACCTTAATCTCAAATTAATTCAATTAATTAATCTTTTCCCAGCACAAAAAAAAATTGTAGATAATATTCCTATTGTAATTTCCGTTCTTCTCTCAACTGATATCTCCCTACATTGGATATAATAGCCCCGGGCGGGCGGTTTTGTAACAACTCATGGAGCACGAGGGGAGGAGGAATAGAAGCACGCGTTTAACGCGCCCGTAATCCAATATAATAACAAATTTGTGCGATCGCCACTTGACAATATGTCGAGTCTAAAGCCCCGCCTTATCAAGCGATGAAACTGGACGTTACATGGCTTTCACCCTCATTGCCTCCGGGTGAGGGGGGAGGGGGGGGCAGGGGGTGGAGGT